GAGAGAGAGAGAGAGAGAGAGAGAGAGAGAGAGAGAGAGAGAGAGAGAGAGAGAGAGAGAGAGACAGAAACAGAGACAGAGACAGAGGGAGAGAGAGAGGGAGGGAGGGACGACGGATCAGAACTTTAGACGCATGAAAGAGATCAGTAAGGAAAGAACGCATAAAGAGATCAGTAAGGAAAGCACAAGTTTGTAGGATAAATAGTAAATAGCAAATAGTGCTAAATACTCAAGGATTGAAGGATCCATATTCTGCACGGCACAATCATAGGCACGAACAACGTTCATAACAGTTCGAAGATTCAGCATGGATTCCGATCTGGTTTGTCTACAGGATATCAGTCCGCTTGATTTTCGATTCAGATGTAGATGAAGATATATCAGAAGGGTGCGTTCTCGAAGCAAAGAGAACCCCTTTCCTTCCTTTTCTGTATACTTGCCTTTGGTCTACGAATCCGTTACTTACGACGATGGAGTTGGATGTAAGGGTTTGACCCTCCAACGAGGATACTCAGATGTAGACGAAAATATATCAGAAGGCTTATGGTGTTGGATGTCAGGGTTTGACCCTCCTGGCTGAAGCATTTGTTGACTCTAACTGCCAACTCACCACACTTCAGGACTCATCCTGTGGTGGCAGCAATGATGCAACATTCGATCATCGGGGGCCAAGTAAACACAGCAGACGTCATTTGGGACAACTGCTAAAATTGGAACGATACAGAGAAGACTAGCATGGCCCCTGCGCAAGGATGACACACACAAATGAGGAAATGGACCAAATGGGAAATTGGCAAACAGTTGACGGAAAAAAAAAGATCCAAACAGCAGATGTCTTCCTTACTCGCTGACGTCAGTGAGACCCAGTTTTCATCAATTTCCAACATTAACATGGGGCAAGAACGGTGAGGAGTCGAGGACACGTTCGATCAAACAATGGAAACAGTGAAATCAGGAAGAGGATCAATCATAGAAGTTGCTCTCTCAGACATGCATTGACGAAGTGTGAGAAGTCAACTGGAGTGATAGCCACCCTCTACCTGGCAAATAGCTTCGAGAGGCCGTCTATAACTACACTCTAGCCTGGCATCTCTGGCTCCAGCTACAAGAAGCCAGCTAGAGCTATCGCCACCCTCTAGCTGGCTGGATGTTACATACTCGTGAAAGTATCCACGAGTGTGGGGCAGAACCAAAGATCAACCAATATAGGATGAGCATGTATGCAGCGGAAGTCTGATAACGGACTGACTCACATAGACTGACTCACACAGATA